TAAAAGACCGCTCAAAGGGCGGCAAAATATCTTACAGAAAACCGCTCAAAAAGGCGGCAAATAAAGAAAATAAAAATTGACCAAAAATGGCAGAACAAAGAGCTGATATTAAGGGGCGATTGGGGCAGAAGTTAGATCCTTGCCTAGGACGGGCTCTTGAGAGGCGACAAGGTACGCGTCCTCAGTAGGCGCCTCCTTGCTCTACACTTCACCGTCATTGCCGGCCGCCACTTCTTCATTTTCCTCATCCTCTAAGGTAGTTTGTGTGACGTCCAGCTCAAGAGAAGGTTGCCCGGCCTTCTTAGCCTCTTCCTTGAGGCAGACAAAGTTGAGGCGTTTGGTGAAGCGATCTTGATAAAAGGTCGCCTCGCCCTCGTCCACCATGAGCTCGAACGCCTCAAAGAAGTGGCTCTTTAGCCTATCCTCAGCATTATGTTCAATGCAGACGACCTCATCCGCACTAGGGGCCCGAGGTGTTTTCAGCTGTAGAGTCAAGTCCTCAACGGACTTCTTTAGAGTTTCCACCTCGGCCTTAAGAACGTCTGCCTCGTCCAAGGCCTCCTTCAAGTGTTTTTTGGCTAAGGCCACTTCACTCCTAAGATTTCGGAGGCCTCGAACCCTTCTTTCCAACGCTGGTCGTCCAGGAGGGCCTAATCCCTCTCCTGTCTCATGGCGTCCCTAGCCACAGACTCTTGCTCCAGGGCCTGGCCAAACTTCACCAAATCTTCAGCTTACCGCGCTGCCTTGTCAGATAGCGCATTGATTTGGGTTTCAAAGTATCGGCGCTGGACGGTCGTTTCCCCAGTAATGGCATCCTGGGTTTTCTGAATCTGATCCCAGGCATGCTTCAGCTTTTCATTCTCCTTGTCCTTCTATTCAAGGAAGGCATTCAATCGTAGGAAGAGCTGCGTACAGGGAAAACGGGTTAGCTAAAAAAGAGTGAAAAACTAACTAAGTGTGAAAGTTGAAAGAAAAATTACCTCAGCACTACAATTGATCATTGGGCCAAAGAAGCCCTCATGAATCCCCCGCAGCTTGTCTCGCTGCTCAGCAGGGACAGCCCTGGCCATGGCCTCCCTCATGGCCTTCCTGTCCGCGCCCGTAAGGGATTGGCCGGGCAGCTTCATGTGTAGCTCCTCTACAATATCTATGCGCGGGCGCAAAAATAAAAGTTTAGCTTAAGCTCAATTGGGCTTATAAAAAATAAAATAAAATATGCAAAGTTACTCGAACTGACCGTCAAAGAAGCTCGAAGGGTTAAGGGGATTGAAGGTGAATGATGGGGGCGGGGCAGGCTTGTCACCCTCCTCACCCGTACGGCCAGGCTGGTCGTCGGCCGACTGAAAGGATTCAAGCCAATCAGATTCTCAGACTCTTTGTACAGGCGGAGTCACTTCTGGCCCGGTCGATTTTGCCGGGGTCGACTTACCCCTACTGTCCAATTTCTCGAACCTATCATGAACCGGCGTAGCCGCCGAATCCATGGACTTGGAGACCCCGCTATCACCCAGCCGAGGTTGTTCTCCTTTGGACTGCTTAGAGACAGTCCGCGACGTAGTTTTCGCGCAGTGGTGGAAGTGGTCTTTGAAGCGACCGTCTTCCTTTGTTTGGACGCCTTCCCGTCCTTGTCCGTCTTGGAGGCAGGGGACGACTACTTCCGCTTGGACCTAGGGGTCGGAGTCGATAACTGAAGAAAGGCAAAGGTTAGCGAAAAATGAGTAGGACACTACATTAGTGTCCGTGTCTAGCTAGGAAGGAGACCCCTCCCATCATGCCAACACGGACACAATGATACAACCGTGACAGCCTAGAAAGGAGGACCTTCCTAGCATCCCAACACGGATGAAAAGAAGAGAGCACTACAAGAAATTCGACTTTGGGCAACCACTAAACTCGAAGCCCAAAACCAGTATTTCGTCGCCCAAACCCTTGGGCAACGAAATGGGTCTAGACATGGGTCCGAAGCCCTAAGGTCGAAGCCCATTACATATTGGGCGACGAATTTTTATTTCGTTGCACAAAGGTTACTTTGTGCAACGAACAAGTTAGTTGCCTATGATCTGTTCATTTCGTCGCCCATAATATTTTGGGCGACGACCAAGTTCGTTGCCCTATATTTGATACTTTGGGCGACAAATTATTTTCGTTGCCCATAATATTTTGGGCAACGAAATTAATCGACGCCCATCTTTGCCCCAATGGCCCAATATGCGTTATGTCGTTGCCCATAGTACTTTGTGCAACAAAGTTACTCGTTGTCCATATTTGTCAGTATCGATCATATGCTTTTTAATAGGGTCGAGTGTTTTTATTATTTTCTTACTATGGGTAGTACAACCTATTAAAAAACAAATAAATCTGAAAATGAATTCAAATACCAAACATTTTGAATAATTATTATATGAAATAGTTTAATTTATAAAAACATATTAAGAAAATGTGTAAATTATAAGATAATCCCACTTTGTCAACAAGGTACATGATCCTTTAAAAATTAAATAAAATAACACTAATTACAAACTTAATTACATCGACCCCTTCTCAACGCTGCTCATATATACCACCTTCAATAGTTGCGATCATCCATCTTTCGAATTCATTGCTAGCCCATGTTATTCCTATGTAAGTGAAACATAAGTTAGTAACATCAAAATAATTATTGAAAGCATCCGATATTTTAGTATATAAATCATGCAATCATTTTCACAAAAATATATACTAGTTATTTTCACCTTGCGAATGAGGATATATCAAAGGGGATGCAAGAAGAATTTACATTTCCTTTCAAAAAAATAATATACCTTTGTCCTACAAAATTTGAGACTCAACATACCTCAGAAAAATTCATTCCAAATGATAAAGCATACCTCACGAAAATTCATTGATGATGAACACGGGCCTCCACCCAATGCTTGCCTAAAAAATCCACAAGCTTTTTTCCTGAATCTAGAATTCGACACTCAAAATGTATACTACTAAGTTGCCACAGGATCAGTTATAGGTTTGGTTATGTTATCAGGCTCTAGGTCAAGCTTTTTGACCTGAGCCAGACCAACGCACAATAGATATTGACTAGTTATATCAGGTTTTTAAAACCGGTCTATATTCAGATGAAGCTATAAATTTTGTGACTGGCTCGGAATTAAGCTTGGTAAAGAAGCTAATATGCATATGCCCAAAGATCCCAATAATAGAAATCAGATTTAAAACCATTTATCCCTACATCACACAACAATATCTTTGAACTGAAAGGGTATTTTATCAGTACTCTAACACCAGAAAGCTTGCACAAACAACGACCAGAAACCAAATCTGATGTTTGGTACAAACGCCCAGACAAATCAATCCCAACTCTAAACACATGGCACATTAACAAATTAATCTTGTTAATTACCACAGCAGCAACCCTAATAACAAATGATAAGGAAAAGAATGCTAAACTATGCCAAGTTTCTACATAAATAAAAAAAAGCAAGTACTGAAATGAAAAGTGTTATGCTAAACTATACTATGCTAAATTTTGCCAGAGCTTTATTTTTCGGAAGGGAAAGGGGATAGCATATGTACTTCATCAAAGGGAGAGTCACAAGTTCCTGCTTCAATTGTTTATTCAATTTCTAGGAGAAGAATATGATAGCACAATCAGAAAAGTAATAGTTCGTATTGCAAAATACACATCGACCTATAAAAAACTCTTTTTTATGTCAACTAATAATTATCCCTCTTTCTGAACAAGAGTTGTCTTATGTTATTGAACATACGTTAAGTGAATCAATGGAGTTTAACATTACTAACAAGCCTCATGTGTCTAAGATCGATAAGATTATCATACATAGTACTAATTGATTAGAATTTACACTGTAATTGTAAAATGGCAATAAATTACACGGGAATAACTTCATCTTCCGCCAGTATAGCTTGTAAGTTACCAAATCTGATGTTTCTAAAACTTCCTATGAAAATACAAGTAATGCAAAACCAAAGTTGCAGATAGAGGAACACAAAGGCGAGAGGGGATTCTGCATACTCAGCCGACAACTTAAAATACATATAGTCGGCTGAGCAGAGGAGTCATCTATTAACTCTACTCTTTCACAAGTTCATATAATAGCTCCATGCACTTATCTCCAGTTAAAGTTGTGGTGATAGTCAGGACAATGAGATGAACACAGTCGTGGTAAGGAAAAATAAAGGACGATAAAATATGAAGCAGAATCAACCAGCAGTGCTTCTCAATGTCCTAATGATAGTAGGCTTGTAAAGGTCGAAAAGAGGCAACAAAAGAAAAAAAGGAAAAGTTCGAGGTTTAAGGATAAGACACGTGCTATGCTAAAAAGGATGTAAGAAAGAACCCAATGCTACAGAAACAGTCAGGCTCTACAGAGGAGAGTGATGGGGATGATGATAGACACCATAGACATAGTATACAAGGACTAGGTCCAATTCCAAGAAAGAGTCAGATCTTGGAGATATTATATTTTACATGTTTATAGAAGTGAATTATATTTGACTGCATACTCCATCCAACTATTCAGTATGCTTGCTTCATAAACTTCATAAAAAGCTAATAGACACTACCAAGAACCATAACAGCAACAACACGCAACAACATATTTTTTTTATAATAACTAAAAATATATATCTCAAATAGAAGATGAGTAAGTGTCATACCTAAGTTGCTCAAACATTTTCATCATATCATCTCTGAGCTTCTTTTCACGTTTCTGAGCTTCTATGTTGATTCTAGATACGGTCGCTTTAAGCTCATCATTTGATGCTATAAGCTCTTCATTTGAGGTTCTAAGCTCTTCATTAGATTCCTTCAGGGATTCAATCTGAGATACAAGTACACCCTCACGTGTTGCGGCATACTCTTTTAATTGTTGAATCTCAGCTGATAATTTCACTCTAACTTCATTAGTTTCTCCTTCAACTCTTCTTTTCTTAGGTGGACGAGCTCCAGGACCAAGTCCCTTGACATATCCAGACTTTAGTTTGAAAACCTCCATGTATGCTGCTTTGACACTTAGTGTATCTTCACCATGCTCTTTCACTTCTTTTTCATGAAGGTTTCTAAGCGCTTCATAGTCTTTTTCAGCATTAGGTTCAAATCCCTTGTCTTTATGCCTAGCATATTAATTCAAGCACAAGAATAAACAACTCAATTCAATGATTTATAAAATTGAAAAAACTTATATAAAAAATACTAAAAAAAACCACCAAGGGACTATTGATTACTTTTTAGTTTTCTCAAATAAGGTGATGTACAGAGGATCCTGTTGAGTTTCAAGTGGATTATCTGATGATCCTTCATGTTCTTGACTACCTTGAGTTTGTTGCACATTCATCTGCATTTATGATAAGCAATGCCAAATTATACAATGAAATGTGATCAGTGCTCAAATAATAGTTACAGTCCAAAAGCTAGCAGAACTAATCTACCATGAAATTATTCATTTGCACCACTTTAAACAAATTATTATATAAATCATTGTAAAAATATTAAATCCGTACCAATTCATGGAAAATTCTTGCGGTAGACCTTGCACCATTTGCAGGAGTTTCAGTTTGCTTAAGCTTATTATCCTTGTTAACTTTACTAATACGCTACAAGCCATAAAAAAACAAGGCACTATCAGATTATCATAATATAAATTCAACTAATGGTCAGGTAAAAAAAGAGTCAAATGGAATTTTACCTTTTGCTTTTCATCATTCCAATACTCACATACTAGCCATGTCCATTGGTTAGCATCAATATTATCTGGTCTGCTATTTATAGCATCTGCAATAGACTTGTTTCTAAAGTATTTCTCTTTAAGCCTAAATCTCCAATGTTTATACAACATGGAGCACTGAAAGCTCAACGCATCAGTAACATCAGCACCAGCAACTTTATCAGGTAAATCATATTTAGCCTGCCAACGTAAATCATAATAAATATGCATCCATATATGCGAAACACATTCAGACATTTTTCATGGTCTCAAATACTTCCAAAACTTACTCGAATCTTTTTATACAGCCTCTCTTTTGCACCTGAATCCATTTTAGTCCAATTCCTGTCATGAATAAAGTAAATTTAGAGTCATAAAATTAACTTTAGCAGCATATATTCAAAAAACTTGTAAGTTAAAGCACATACAATGACTTGAGGGGACAAAATTCTTTCACCCAATTGCTACAATCACATATGAATTCATCTGCCTTTTCACCAACCACCCGTCGAAGCTCATCCATGAAATTTATTTTAATCTTTTCTTCAGAATTAGGATTCCACATCTTAGTAACATATTTCTTACCCCTAGTTGGCCCACGCCTCTTACGATCAGGAAACTTTAGTCGATGTTCAGCTTGTTCAAGCCTTCGTTTCTCCCGGTATGTCAATCTTTGCTCTCTGGACTGATCACTAGTTGATGCTTCTGCATCATGCTGCTGCTCCTGATTCGGTTGTTGTTGCTGCCCCACAATCTGCTGTTGTTGCTGCTGATGCACATTCTGCTGTTGTTGCTGCTGGACAGTTTGTTGTTGCTGCCCCACAATCTGCTGTTTTTGTTGCTGGACAGTTTCTTGTTGCTGTTCTGCATTTTGTTGTTGTTGCTGCTTTGTATTCTGTTGTTGCACATTGTGCACATGTTGCCTTGTACTTGACGCTTGCCTTGTCTTAGGCAACTGTGATGCATCCCGCTGCACTTGCTCAATTGCCATTTTCCTATAACAATTTCTTGTGCATAATATTAGTGATATTCAAATAAGTATAAAAGCAGCATAAAATTATGAAAAACTAAACTCCATCAAATCCAATCTATGTAAAGAAACATATAAATGAAAAGACTTACTCAACAAATTAGCAGTTGCATTGCAATGGAGGGAAGACCCCAAACAAGAGAGAACAAAACAAGAAAAGCAAACAAATTGAAAAAAGAAAGCTGCTACTAAACAAAGAAACTAACACAAATAACAGACTAAAACAAAGACTAGAGCTAGTTTATGTCAAGTGATTAACTTGTCACCATATTAGCTGAAAACCACTAATGCATAAAAATAGTTTTGCAAATTACTAACTAAGAGCAACAAAGATTTGATTATAGATTGTAGTAGCGCCTAAATTGCAACATTCTCCGCGGATGCTGGGTAACTGCAATTATACCAATACAATATATTTATTAATGTAGAAAAAATGATTTAAGTGACTCATTTACTTCATTTTAGTTTAGAAAACATCAATTACCAGAAACTAAGAAGGGGAATCTGTAGAACTATCGCTGTCAGATTCTATATCCTCAAGATTCTCATATATCTCATGCACGCTAGAGCTTGTATCAAGATCGTCTTCATCATCCTCTTCACTTTCCTCTTCTTGCTCATCGTCATTATCCGTGTCAACAATGTTATTAGTACATTCTAAGATGACCTCTGCATCAACCAACTCTGGTTCAACATCATCTCTTACCATATTGATTTCCTCATCACTAAGTGCAGTGAACTCTTCAAGGTTAGTTGCTCCTTCTTCCACAATATTCCATAGATCTTCATTTTGTTCAGCGTCTTCATCATTAGGGAAATCAAAAAAGTTACGTGGCTTAACTTTAATTACATATTTCCAATGTCGCTCATCATGAGAAGAGATAAAGAAAACTTGTTCAATCTGAAAGGCTAATGCAAAAGATTCATTTGTTTGCAATGTACGAGAAACATTGACAAGCGTAGACCCAAATTTATCCTTTTTAATCCCTCTTTCGTCGCTGAATACATCAAACCACTTACACCTAAACAATACCACCTTAGGACTTGTTCGGTTTTCTAAGGCATCATACTCCAGAACAATAACTTCATCTAAAGTCCCGTAAAAGTCCTTCCCTCCACTCTCTGCATCCCCTAATACAACAACGCCACTATTTTGAGTTTTTCGATGTCTTTGACGCTTTTTAGTGTGAAATCTAAACCCATTAATAACATATCCATCAAAAGTTACAACACGCTTCATTGGCCCTCGTGCCAAGCACAATAATTCTTCTGTAACTCGTTCATCCTTATCTTCCCAAAGTTGTATAATCTAATTATTTTCAATATAAATACAAATAAAAAATGAATATATGTGCAGAATTTAATGTATTTATGTGTGTATATATATATATATATATATATATATATATATATATATATATATATATAAATAAAGCACTATCTTACTCTATTCTCAAACCACTTGCAGAATTCAACATCTCGATGGCCTATGTCATTCTCATACTCACTACGAACAAAAAAAAAATGTTTAGCAACATTTAGTCCGTATAATCGTATAATAATATAATTATAATTTTATATACTTACTCAAAAAAAGGTTGTGCTTCTTCACAATTCTGCAAAACATACAATTGAGCTTTTCTCCAATCTTCAATACTCAATTGCTTTAAATTTGGCTTCCCCAATGTCTTGCCGGTGTTATAAAACACCGAAAGACTATGAAGTTGTGGATAGTTCATATCCTCATTTCGATCTAAACGATTGAATTGTGTCTCAATCTTAGAGAGATATCTAGCACAAAATACTAGTAATTCCTTCTGAATATACCCTTCGGCAATTGAACCTTCAGGATGCGCTTTGTTCCGTACAAATGATTTAAATGTCCGCATTGCTCTAATAATAAAGACTAGAATAAGTGTAATAAAATTCACTTTATTTTTAGATATTTAGACATACAATAAATTAAACTTACCTTTCAAATCGATACATCCAGCGATAATGCACAGGTCCAGCCAATTTTGCTTCTGTAGCTAAGTGTATGGGAAGATGAATCATCACATCAAAGAAAGCCGGAACAAAGATACGTTCTAGCTTACATAATGTGATTGCTATATTTGCTTCCATTCGTTCCAAGTCGGCTACTTTTAAGGTCTTAGTGCAAAGCTGCTTAAAAAACAAACTAAGCTCTCTTAAAGGTTCTAAAACTTTTTCATCTAAGACACCTTGAAAGGTCGGGGTAAGCAAATCTTGCATGAAAACATGAAAATCATGAGTTTTCATTCCTATGATTTTTCCATCTTGCAAAGAAGCACATCGAGAAATGTTAGATGAATAACCATCGGGGAATGCTAATTTCGATAAAAATGTGACAATTTTCCTCCTTTCATGTAAGGTCAAGTTGAAAGGGGCTCGCGGTATTTGATACTTGTCCCTTACTTTCTTCGGTCGAAGATCATCGTGCATTTTCATGGCTTCTAAATCCAACCGAGCATTTACAGAGTCTTTGTTCTTTCCAGGTAAGTCAAGCAATGTGCCTAATATATTTTCACAAACGTTTTTTTCCACATGCATCACATCCAAATTGTGTCGAACTAACAGATGTCTCCAATAAGGCAATTGAAAAAAAAACGCTAATCTTTTTCCACTGGTGAACAATATATCTTTCCCCTCTTTTTCGTTTCCCTTTATTATCTTTACCAAATTCCACATTAGGGTATCCATGTAGCTGCTCCAAAGCATCATTCCCTGATAATGGATTAGGTGGTGCGCGCCTTTCAACTTTCTTATTAAAGAACCTCTTATTAAGTCTCCACTTATGATCTGGTTCTAAAAAAAACACGATGACACATATAACACCATTTGTGGCCATGTTTCAACCATTCGGAATTTGTGTCTTTGTGGCAATTAGGGCAAGCCTTCGCCCCTTTAGTGCTCCAGCCAGACAAATTGGCATATGCTGGGAAATCACTAATTGTCCACATTAACACTGCTCGCATATTAAATGTCTCCTTACTATGGGCATCAAAGGTTTGTACCCCACTCTCCCATAATTCCTTCAACTCATCTATCAAAGGTTGCAAAAAAACATCTATGTCATTACCAGGAGATTTAGGGCCGGAAATTAATAATGACAACATCATGTTGTCACTTTTCATGCACATCCAAGGAGGTAAATTATAAGGTACTAACATAACAGGCCATATGCTATATCTACTACTCATGTTCGCTCCGGGATTGAACCCATCACTAGCTAAAGCCAAGCGTACATTACGTGCATCTGCAGCAAATTCGGGATATAGCTCATCTAAAGACTTCCACGATTTTGAATCTCTTGGGTGTCTCATAATATTGTCGTCATCATCACCAGCATGTCCTTTATTATGCCACCGCATGTGCATTGCGAGCTTGGAGCACATGAACATCCTTTGGAGCCTTGGAATAAGTGGAAAATGGCGCAAGACTAATTGAGGTACTCGTGTTTTTCTATGGACACCCTCATCTTCATCGTCTGAATTCTCATCATCTTGAGAAATATCCTGCTTCCATCGAGGTGCTGAACACTTAGGACATTTAACTTCATTTGCAAACTCCTTTCTAAATAAAACACAATGGTTGACGCATGCATCAATCTTAACATAATCTAACCCTAGCGCTTTAGTATATTTTTTTGCGTCATAAGAGCTTGAAGGCAAATTGTTATCATAATTAAACGCCCTATGCAATGCATTCAATAACATTGAAAAAGACTTATCACTCCACTTGTTGCTAACTTTAATGTGCAACAATGACATAATAAACTCCAATATCTTAAATTTTTTACATCCTGGATACAAGTCAGCCTCCATATCCTCCACTAATTTTTGGAGCAACATAGGAGTTTCACTAGTGCCACTACTTGATCCTATATATGTGGTTCTTTCATTTTCATTGATTGATGTAGAGTTTATAGAATTCCACGCGCTTGTTGCATCGAAAACAAATGGAGCCATGTCATCAAAAGGACGATCCTCACTCTCATTATCTGAAACCTCTGCTACATACCCTTGATCTTTATTTTTATCAATTTGCTCTACACTTTCTCCGTGACTCAACCATGGGTTGTAACTACGATCAATGCCATATACTAGCAAGTGACATAGCATGTTTTTACGAGTTTGTGACATAACCAATCTACAGTTAACACAAGGACATTTCAACATTGTTTCGCCACTTATTCCCCTAAAAGCAAACCGTAGAAATTCATTAACACCCGCTATGTACTCCTTTTTTTGTCTATCCTTTACACCATTATGATTCATCCAACTTCGATCCATATTCATTCTTACAAACAATAATTAAAAAAAAAACATTAGCGACAAAAAATGATCACATTAGATAGTTTAGCTATTAACCGTGTGAACAAGAAAATCTTACATCATTAGATTCATCACAAAAACAAACATACCAACACAAGTGATGAAAAATTTGGAGGTTTTAATTTTTTATATAATAGGAACTTCAAGTTAAACTTGAAACTTTATTACTTGCATTATTTATATTGGTCTGTTAAAGTTTAGACTTTAGACTAACTAATACTAAATCTTATGGAATGATGTCGTGCCAATTTAATTGTTTCTTAAGACATTTCTAATTGAATATTATAAATTTGGTTTAGTGCCTAGTATAAAGATATTTGAATTAAAGGGAAATATATCTTTTGAACCCTTTAGATGTAACATACCTAATTATCAATGCAAATATTAATATGGTTATTATGTTATAGTTTTAACTTTTTTTTGACACAAAGTTATAGTTTTAACTGGAATGAGATTGTATAGTGAAAGAATTATGGGGAATCTTTCCTTCCTCAATTCATTAAGCATCCTTGGCTTATATACAAGATTACAAGCGTGAAGTTAGGCAGAGTATACAAACTGATTAGCTAGGAATTAGCTAGAGTATACAAACTGATTAGCTCTAATTAAGGGATACATCTAAAGCTAATTATACTCCTAACATATATAACAAATATACAAAGTCAGAATATATCCCAATATATTCTAACATATAGTTTAAAGATTCTTAACAAGCAGCAGCTCAATTTTTAGGCAAAGACAGCTCAATTACATCAATCTCATTCCATTTTTAAGTATCAAAAGATTGTGCAGGTAGTCAAGTTATCCATCTTTTCTTTTAATACTTTAAATTAGACCCACTGTATGAGAAAAATCCCAAGATATGTCCAACAGAATGAATATTATCAATGCAAATATTAATCTGATTATGTAAATTACATGTAATGATCATTTTAAGTATTGCCTAGATATAAAGTATAATCAATCAACTAAAATTGCAAGAAATTCTCAATGAAAATCACAATAAAATTGTAAATAAAACAACAATACAATTTACTACAAAATTATCAAGAAACTAAACATATCTGAACCAAAAACACATAATCGCAACAAAATTGAAAGAGAATAAACAACGAACCAAAACCATTGTTAACATGATTCATTGATTAATCAATCGAATTTTATAAAAACGCTCAAATTTCCTATAATTCGACAAATAAAATGGGATTTCTACCTTGCATGTTAAATCAATCGACTCACATAGCAGATTATATCAATTCAAAGACCAAATTTCACCCAGAAATGTTAAAAAAAAAACCGAATTTGTAGATGAGAATTACCTGAATAGATACTCTTTAGATGCGAGTGTAGTGTAAGATATTGTGTGCCGCGTCGGAGAGAACCAGACTAGATCGGAGCGGCCACCGAAAAAACCTGATTTGAGGAGAAGATTATGCAATTAGAGGTAGAGTACGAGGGTTTCGTTTTAGGGAGAATATTGAATTAGAGGTGAGGTGGGAGTTGAATACCTGATTAATTAAGAGTAGTTCATTTTTTTTTTTGAATAGAATTAAGAGTTCATTAGTTTGGGAAAAACCGCGAGAGAACTCTATACTAATTTGTGAACGTGGGAAATTACAAAATAAAAATTAAAATTTCCGCCTTATTTTTAAGTTTTAGGCGACTGTAGAATTAAATTAATTTGTCGTTTTATTAAATTTGGGCAACGAAACAAAAACTGGTAGCCCATATATATATACTCGTGGCACAAAAGTCATATTGGGCTACGGGATTGTATTTCGTCGCCCAAAATATAGATTTGGGCAACGAAATTGGATTAGAAGCCCATATTAACATTTTTGTGCAACGACAACATATTTCGTTGCCCATACTAATGAAGTTCGTCGCCCAAACCCGTTTTTCTTGTAGTGGAGGGAGGAAGAAAAGATGTTCTTACCCCCTTAGATTGCTCGTACAGCTTTTGACGAGCCTTGTAGCGGGCCAAGTCGATTTCAGCCATGCTCACCTCCCCCTTCTGTTCTGGGTCCAGCATCTTGTACGCCTCAGCTGTAGAAGAAAGGGAAGAAAGTGTTAGAAAATTTTTCAAGTTCAAATAACGTATGTACATGCAAAAACTATATATGACCAAGCGTCCACCTTGGGGCAAGTTCTTGTATAGGTCGTAGGCCGACATGAACGTAGGGTCCCGAAGCCAACTAGATAAAGGGACCCAATTACTCGGAACGCGCTCAGTTTTGCCAACCCTCTTCACCCTCTTGACCTTGAAGTATTCAAGCTGATGCTCTTGGCTGGGATGGACGGGTGGCTTGTCAGTCTTGAGCTCCCCGCGTCCAAGCTGAATTGGTTCAGCGTTAAACCGGTTCATCCGCAGATTAAATTCAACATCTTTGGTTTTGATGCGGTAGAATTGGTGCTTCCAATCACGCCATTTGGAGACGCGGTCAACCACCATCATGTAGTCCCTGTTGGAACTCAGAATGAGCCAGCCTTCCATGTCCGCGTCCAGCTTGGTTAGTGAGTGCATCTCACAGAAGAACGCAAAGTCTGGCTTGAAGCCCTTGCAGATGCACGTCACCAAATACCCAAAAATGTTCAACCAGCTGTTCGGTATCAGTAGGAAGAGGGCAATGTCATATTCGTCCAAAATGGTGCGGACGAAGGTGTGGAGAGGGAAGCGCAGTCTGACGTCTAGGGCCGCCCTATAAACGCTAAAGGATCTTTGGCATGGCCTCTCTTCCTCCCAAGCAGCCACAGCATGTGACTTCCGTGGGGGCTGAATCTCAAATCCCTCCCCAAGGTGGAGTCATCAAACTTGTCATTTAGGTAGCCCAAGGCCGTGCTACCCACCGTACAGGTTTACTGATCCTTAAAGTTATCAACGTTGGCGACGTCTTCCTCGGCCGCCGCCTCGCCCTCAACCGCTTTCTCGACCTCTTCCTCCTCCTCTTGTCCAGATCGGCTGCCTCTGCTAAGCTGCGGCCCCTAGAGCTACGGCCGCCCCTGAATGAGGGAGTGTCTTCAAGAATTAAGGGGCCTTTCCCCTTGTCTCTGGCAGTGGCCGCCTGACTCCCTGTAGGAGGGGCACTACGAGGAGGCAAGTCGGACGGTTCATTAATTAAGATCCCCGTCCTTGGCCTGTCCGACCCGCCATATCGGAGATAGAGTTCGGAAGCAGATGGGACGGACGGATCAGCGTCCGCCCGGGAAGATGAAGGAGGTCCTTCACGAAGTAGAAACTCGGCCGCATCCATGACCGAGTTGGCATATTGGGGGAACATTAATCCCAGAGTTCGCCCGGACGTTCCTGCTGTGGCCGAAGCGCCCTGAGTTCTTTGGCGCTCCTCAAAGGAAGAAGTTACTTCCACGGCCGAGCAGTGAGTGCCTGTGGAAGTGGTCGTAGGAGTGGTGAAAGGAGTTTCTAAGTCTGTGTTGTTAGGGTTATAAGGAGGCCTAGGGTGCACCAGACTACCGTCTGGGTTTCTGGCCGCATGACGATCATGCGTCTACATTGTTCTTGCCATGTTCGACTGCAGGGACAGAGAAGAATAGGTGGAAGTGATTTGGTATGCACTGGGAATGGACCCACTCCATGAAGGAGACAACTCGTCTCCGTCCACTCTAGACTCCTCAGTCCCAGGCGAACGGTCGGCCTCATGAGGAGAAACGGACGACGCCAAGTGTTGAGCCAGATTTAAAAATGAAGAATAAAGAAATAAAAATGCAAGTAAAGGAAAAGAAAACAAGCGGCCTACCTCTGTACGTGTAGAAAACTTGAAAAGTCTTGAAGGTTGACCGAAAAACTCAAAAATGTGCCCGGAAAATGCAAAGGCACGGCGGAGCTCTCGAAGATTCAAGGAGGAAAGGCACTTTCTCTCTCTAAAAGCTCTGGCTTCTCTCTAGAATTCTCAAGAATGTAAAGTGCCAAAATGAGGTCAAACCCCTTATATTTATAGGCAAAATTTATGAAGGTAGGATGGTAAATTCACCTTTCCCGCCTAAAAAGTTGAACGGTTATAATTTGAAAATTTAACATAGAATTTGAAAGGGTGAAGGACAACGTCGTTAGAATAGGAAGAAAAGAAGACGACCTAATGATGGCACGTCCAAAAATAAACGGATAAGAAGGCGGAGCTAAAGCTCCCTCCGCAATGGCTAGACGGCTGATTTTCCCAAAAACGAGACGGCCTACCGTTGTCTGCGCCATCCGCAAAGATGGGCGTTCGCTTTAAATTTTTAGGCGGACAAATAATGTACCCATACGCACCAAGGCTAGTTAAGGTTAGAGGAGGCGGCCAGTAAGCGTACGAGCCACCACCTCTGAAGGCCAAATGTTGAGGGTAAAAATACCCCGCACACATGGACCAGTCCCATAGCGACACGGGGCCCAATTAGAGGGCGACACGTGTCACTATGGGAAGATGTCACGCGTCCAGCTTAAAAGCCCTCAAAGAGCTTTGGCCAATTCTGTAGCGCCACGTGGCCCAATGAGAGGGTGACACGTGTCGTTACAGGAAGATGCCACGTGTTTAGGGCATACATGGCCCCTTAGATCAGCACGTAAAAGAGGCCTAATTACATCAGGGCCCAAATCCCGAGAGATATCATTGAAAGCCGCAAAACGGCGCTCCCAAAGCAACACGTGGCATTCTCCGATTGCGTAGCCAATCACGTCACACAATTTTAGGGTGCAAACCCTAAAATGGGGCACAAGCTCCACCCCTATAAATACCCCAATCATTTATGATGGGAGGGGTGGATTAAGACATTAGAAGGAAAAGAGCATTAATAGCTCCAACTTCTCTCTACTTTCTCTCTCTAGCCTTTTCCGTTTCCGATCACTGACTTGATCGTCGGAGGCTAATATTCCGACAACCGAAATATTCGTTGTTTTGCAGGTGTATCTGTCTCATTGCCAGAAGAGCGTGACAAGTATACAAGGAAATCCAAAAAATACCCGAAACTGCAGCAACGAAGCAGGGGGTAGCGAAGCCAGGAGGCCGAGAAAAGGATGAAGAAGCAGCAACACGAGCCCTGAGCAACGTCCTGATTTGTTCTATAATTGGAGTTTTCTCTTCTCTCTTTAAGATTATGAAATTAACAATGTTATATATTGTTGATTGTGTTCTCTTAATTTCCATGTCTAGCTAAATTTCCTTGTTCTAGGTTAGGGATGTAGTCTCTTATTATCTATCAATGAATTGAATTATATTATTTGGATTTGATTTATATGATGAAATTTGATAATCTTTTTTGATTTCGTATGTTTAATCTGGCCAATTGATTATATGTTTAAGGTATTTGATTATTAGCGGGGGTGAACTTTCAATACTAGTTCGTGGGATTATCAAACGTCAAGTAGTATAATTTTAGGAATAGTTATACACTTGGGGTGGTCTTATTGAATTTCTATTATTAATGAGTTTATTTCAATTGTTTTGATCACGGAAGTAGACATGAGATTGATTTAAATATACGTTTTCTACCTTGGGAGAGGAGATTACATACTATTGGTAATTTTATCATTGCTAAACTATATTTATTCAACCCTGCAATTAGTTTAATTTCATTGAAGAGAGTAATTGGCGAAACCCGAAACCTAGACTATTTCTCATACTTGTTTGCAACTTTAATCATATCGTTTATACTTTTAGTAGTACTTTTCTCATATTTTCTGTCGTCTAAATAATATGTTAGTTTCTTAACTTGGTAATTGAGTAGACCTCCTTGTGGATACGATACCTTGCTCACCCTATATTTACAGTAATTGACCCGTACACTTGCGGTAGATTTAGACCCGACCAAGTTTTTGGCGCCGTTGCCGGGGAGGCAATAATTTAATATCATACTATATAAACTTTCGTATTAGTTTTGACTTTATTTTAATTTCTGCCAGTATTAGACCGTATTTTTTTCTGCTAGTTGTTTATTTTGTGTTTTTTTTTTGTCGTTTAAAGTCTGAAAAAAAATATGCTAATATTTTTTATTCTGTTTTCTGTAATTTGCAGTCTGAAATTTTTTTACTGTTACTACTACTGCACATAGCAGTAGTTTGCAGGAGAAAAAAAAAATTATGCCTGTTCTAATTTTCTGTTTCTGATTTTCTGTTTCAGCATTATACTCTAATGTTATTTTATATTAGTGTATGTCACGTACTAATCTTTCTTTAATCCCTTTTGATCCAGAAATCGAAAGAACATTGCACGCGTTAAGGAGACTCTAGATTTCTGAACAAGAACCTTCAATTCCTAATTTGGAGTCACTTTTCTGTGAAATTGAAATCATGGTAGAACCACCAACTAAGATGTTGCGTGAGTATGCAATGCCCGATGCTAGTTCAACCTTTGCAAGTATAGTAAGACCTTCTGTCCAAGCTAATAATTTTGAACTTAAGCCTGCTTTAATTCATATTGTTCAGCAAGATCAGTTTGGTGGGTCGCCTATTGAATGTCCATTAGAACATTTAGCTAATTTTCTTGAAAAATGTGATACCATTAAGCTAAATGGGGTAAGTGAATATGCTATTAGCCTTAGGTTGTTTTCATTTTCACTAATAGATAAGGCAAGAAAATGGTTGTCCTCTAAATCTTCTGATCCTTTTACCACTTGGACTTCTTTATCTCAAGCTTTTCTGAATAAATTTTTCCCACCTGCTAAAACGGCTAAATTGCGTAATGATATTACTAATTTCACTCAAAATGAATTAGAGTCATTATATGAGTCTTGGGAAAGGTTTAAAGATTTGCAACATCAACGTCCTCACCATGGAATACCTGATTGGCTACTTGTGCAAACTTTTTATAATGGCTTAAATCACTCTAATAGAAGTACTATATATGCTACAGCAGGTGGTGCTTTAATGAGTAAGACTACTGAAGAAGCTAATAAGTTAATAGAAGAACTTGCTTTTAATAATTATGGTTGTTCTAATGAAATATCGGTCGCTAAAAAGAGTACAGGGATGTATGATGTGGATGGTGTTTCGGGGTTTTCTGATGTCCTGCGGGAGAGTTACAATTCCGAGACTGGAACCGGACGCCTGTACCTGCAAAATAACGGAGACTCCTGAGAGCTCCGCCTCCAACGGTCAAGTTAGTACCTGATTAAGGAGTAATTAATACGGAAATTAAAGTAATAAGATCTCTCTAGGTGAGAGTGTTTAATGTTGGTAATCTGCTTTGTTAGCGAGATCCACCGGTTATATGTGTGTTCCGTAACGTTTCTGTTCTGTTCTTCCGGTGAGATTAATTGCTTCTTCCCCTTTAATGAGGAGTAATTAAGTATTTATAGTCTTGAGAAGCGTGCCACTCTCTAGGTTTAGGGTAAACCTAGGGCTGACCGGGCCTCTAGACAGGATTGGGCCTTGTTGGCCGGTTTTCCCATTTGGCATGGGTGGACACGTGGCGTGTCTCAATTGGTCCGTAGAGGACGTATCTGTGATTGACACGTGGCAGGCTCCTATTGGCCTACGTGAAGGACACGTGGCGGAACCTGGTTGGTCCACTTGTCAAACGGTGATTGGTGGATAAAAATCCCCTAATCATTTGCCCCTCACAGGTGGCACGTGACTGGTCACGTGTCGCCTGTGACAGGTGTCGCACGGTGACAGGCGACGGCCTGCTACATGTGTCACCTTGCAAATGGCCGAGAGATTTTCCCGCCCAAATTTTGAATTTGGAAGCGACCCTTCGCCTTCTCACTTTGCCTATATAAGGAAGTGTTGACTTCGGTCATTTTCACATTTGAGAACTTTGCGAGAACATTCGGACCCCTGAACTTGCTCTGACATTTCGGACCTTTTCTGCCTACCGCCTGTTCTGACAAGCCGACTGCACCGGATTTCCAGAACTTCATCAACCGTCACTCGTTCAGGTAACTCAGTTCTCTTACTCTTAATTTTCTTTTTATTTTTTGAAATGGCACCACGGAAGCACACGACACGACCTAAGTTAGTGATCAGCCGGTCACCGGGGACGGCTGAATCTAGGACTAGGAGTGCCGCCTGCCCTTTTCTGGACCCATCTTTGCCCTTTATACAAAGTCCGACTGTATCTGTGTCTATGCAGAACGTGATGGCCAGAACAAAAAAGACTGCTATGATCTCAAACTCGGACGGCTCCTCCCAAAGGGTGCTCATTAGTGAAACATCTGACCAGGCGCCAGATGTAGAAGTGAAACGAGGCGGCTGCCAAGCCGACAGTTCTGAGAGAGGGGTCAAGGTGGTCCCTTCCCATTTTACCGTTGAGATGTCTAATTTTCCTCCTGCTCCTTCTAAGGGAGAGGAGGCGGGCCCCTCTGGGAGAGGGGAGGAGTCGTCCTCTTCGGACTCGTCAGAGGACGAGTCCGAGTCCAGCTCTTCTGGCCACGCTTCTCCAGGCTTAGAAGAAAGAAACAGCCGCCTACAAGAGGTGAGGCTTTCTCATGCAGTTGAGAAGGGGGACAATTGGGCGGAGCCGTCCGCCTCTTACAGAGAGGAAAACACCCCCTACTACTGCACGGTACCCCGGGGCCGGATCGCAACCATGCAAGACAAAGTGGAGAGCTTTATAGCTAACCACAGAATGGGCCCGGAATTTTTACTGTTCGTGCCGGATCCAGAAGACACTGTCGTCTGGCCGGCTGGTACCAGCTATGATGACGGCTGCTTTGGCTGCTATGTGGCGGCCATCAAAGCTGGACTGCGCTTCCCATTACATCCGGCTGTTCAGCGGATTTTAGATGGGTATGATTTGGGGTTATGGCAGTTAGCCCCCAACTCTTGGGTAAACGTACTCGGCTATGTGGCCGGGTGCGAAATGTACGGGGTGGAGCCAAGCTTTGAGGCTTTCGCCCACATGAACTATCTCAGCCGGACCCCTAAGTCGGGAGGTACCGGCTGGTATCAATTAACAAGCCATAGGGGTTACCTCATGACGAGAGGTAAGGCGAACAAATGGAAGGATTGGCGGAACACCTTCCTTATCATCGAGGGTTCAGACACGAAGCTGAACCAACGCTTTAACAAGTGGAATAGGGATCCGCCTCTTCTCGCAGGCGGCCGCAGCATGCCACCTGTTCCCCCAAAGGCTAAAAAAGAGATCCTAGACAAAGGACTCTTCAAAGTAGAGACTAGGGTGAACTCTACTTCAGGGGTACGAGAGCAAGTACCCCTAAACTGCGTCCCGAGCTTCAAGTGGCTCTATGACGAGTACTTTTTGGCCGCCTGTGGCCTCAGCAGTCGGTGCTCTAGAGGTAGCCGGCCTGATAAATACTCTGTTTTTTTCACGCTTTGTTTACTTGGGATCTTTACTAACTTTGCTGTTTATTTTTTGCAGCTGACGCCATGAGTAAAATAACAGCATCCAAGACTGCGGCGGCCATGTTGCGGGCCTCTCTCATGCAACAGTCTTGTACCGACTCCCCCAACAAGGGGGCACCCTTGGTAGGCTTCGAAACTCTTCCTCTTTTAGGAGTTGTCTTATGCATATACTAACTCTTCCTCTTTTCAGTCGGGCACTCCAAGAGCTTCTTCCTCGCAACAGCCGGACCCCAAGGCCCGGAGGACGACTGTTGCAAGCTCTCCTGGGTCTTCCAGGAAAACAGTGGCAGCTGAGAAGCAGCCGGCCACTTCTTCTAAAACCCCGGCGGGGCCGCCTAGAAGTATGGACAATTACTTGTAAAAGCTTTTACACTTGCTTCCTTCTTGACTAGGTCTAACTTGCTTTTTTACGGTTGATGCAGCCGGCCCTCAGGGGCTTGACTTGGTAGAGGTAGCCAAGTCCATGATCAAAGTAGTTCCTCCATCTAAAAGGGAGGCGGTCAGGGGTGCCGGCACCCTTGACCTTGATGGGATTGCAGGGGTCCTTGCTGAGGTATACTTCTTGAGTATTTGAAGTCCAGGACGCCTGTTATCTTTTTTGTTTGGAAACTGACGCCTGTTTTTTTATACTTAGGCCCTGCTCCGAGTTAACAGCCTTCGCAAGCCGCTTGATCGGAAAAACAAAGAGGTAAAGGCTGCAAAAGCTATGGCCGCCTCTAACTGTGATAAGGCAATGTTTCAAATTGCCCAAAATGAAGTACTGACCATTGATATTCTTTATTATCAGGCGCAGGCTACCGCCGCTGTTTGGGCTCAGTTAGAGGCGGCCCAGAAGAAGAATGACGAGCTGGAGGCGACCATCACAAATCTTAAGGCCGAGCTGAAACCTCTTCGCCAAAAAATGTACTCTTACGAAGCCATGGAGAAATCCTTGGCAAGCGTAAAAGAACGCCTGGTGAGCCAAGAGAAGAGTCTTACCCAAGAGCTCTCGGAAAAGGCCGAGCAAGAGAAGAAAGAGCTCGTCCGGGAGATGATGGAAGACTCCGCTCAAATCCAGCGCATGACTTGGGGCCGCCTGTTCCCCAATGCCGACTTTGCCTCTTGGGAAAGAACGTACCGCCAGTGTTCAGAAACATATAATCAAGAGATCCTGGCGGCTGCTGAAGAAGAGGCGTTGGGAGATGCGTTGGAGGAGGAGGAGGAGCCGGTTGTGGCACTTGTGCCAATTGGGGGTGAGGCATCAAAAAAGGATGCAGCTGAAGCCGAGTCCAGCAAGAAGAGTGCTGACCAGGCGGCAGCTGCTAATACTGAACTGCCCCCTTCTTAAGCTTAATGTATTTTTTCCACGGCCTGCGTGCCGTTTGCTTTGTATTTACCCGGCCAGGGGGCCGGGGCTTTGAATATTTTGCTGGTCTTTAATGACCGGCTTATTTTTAATGAATTTTTATTTTGCTTCAAATTTGTCCAAGTATTCCATATCTTATATCCCATTGTTCACTAGACCGACTGTTGTACATGGCCGAACGTTGCAGACAGGTACAAATAGTTAGTACGCCGCCTATGCCCCTGGACGACTGGTTGTCTGTTTCCAGGATAGACGATCAGTCGGCCATTTATTCAATCGGTATTCGAACTATTTTGTCAGGATCCTTTTTAGGCAGGCGTGCCTGTCTTTTTGTAATTTTAACCAAGTAGGAAAGTGGTCTGACCAAGTAAATAGAGTATTACCTAGTCGCCAAGGAATTAAGTGGTAGAGATAACAAGCGGCGGGTACCGGTTGTTTCCCTTTATTGCCAATGTTGGCTTTTAACTCATAATTTGTTAACCTAGCAAGAGTAGTGGTTGAGAGTCCCTGTTTGTTAAAAACAGGCGGACGACTCATACCTTTTAGGCTCCATACTAAGTTTGAGTGACTGTTAAGTTAACATAGGAGTTACTTAGTCTTCGTCACAATCTAGATTGAGTAGTAGAGGTACCAGGCCGGCTGATCCTCTTGATTTGCCAATGTTGGCTATTAACTCAATAGGTTACCTAGTAGGAATAGGGGTTTGAGTGCCCTTGTTTGTTAAAAACAGGCGGACGACTCAAACCTTTTAGGTTCCATACCAAATTTGAGGGAGTGACTATGAGTTAACGTTGGAGTTACTCAGTCGCCGTCACTTTTGTTTGAGAAGTAGAGGTACCAGGCGGCGTAGGCCGGCTAGACCCCTTGATTCGCCAATGTTTGTTGGCTATTAACTCAATAGGTACCCCCTGCATTTATCCCAAGTAATACAGGCGGTCATCTGACTCAGATGTCAACTGCTACCACTGGTTTGGTTAGTGATAGAGTTATCCTTGTCTCAAAAACGGCTACGTGGTTGCCCTTGGGGACAGTCGTATAGGTGTCGTGTAATTAGTTTATAGAACAATGTTCCACCCAAAAGGGAGCTGCTCTCTGCGACGAATTTCATCCGGAGGGATGCCGTCGGACGCTTGCTATGATGTTGGGACAGGTCGTATTAGTTTTGTAGATTTGATCAGTTGGCTTGGCGCCTGGTCTGATCATTCGGCCGGTGGCCTTGGTAAGTTCTTGGTGAACGTAGGTGCTAAGTAAAAGAAGGGTAGCCGCCTGTTAGGCACAGGGTCGGCCAGGCCCTAATCTTTTTAGCTAAGTATTGTGAGT